CCGCGGTGCTCTTGGGTTGTCAGCCCAGACCCGTCCTCCTGACCCCCTCCACCCACCCTGGTGGCCCTAGTTTTGTGTCCCTCCTCCGGTCCCCCTCCACCCACCCTGCTGGACATTGTTTTTTTGGGTTTTTTTTGGACGTTTATTGGACTGTTTTGGTGTTTTAGGGACGTCTGGAATCCGTCCCTTGAGGGGGGGGTTCTGTTACGATTATTGTGTTATGTCACGTTTTGTATGTCTTGTTTTGGGTGTTTTGCTGTTCTCCCTGTCGTGTTTTCCTCCGTGTATATTGTCTGGTCCTTTTCCCTGTGTTTTTGCTCCTGTCGTTAGTTTCCTTGGTGTGTCTAGTTGTCTGATTGTGTTCACCTGTGGCCCTTGTGTTTCTCCTCCCCTGCCCGGCTGTTTCTCGTCTTGTGATTTAGTCTGTTCTCTTCCTGTGTTCAGTGTTGGTTCGTCTTGTGATTTGGCTTGTCCTCGGTGAGTGTTGTGTTCTGTCTTTGTTAGCGTAGCCTTGAAATAAAGGAATTTTCACGTTAATCTGCATTTGGGTCCTACCTGCTTCACACACCATAACAGTTGGTCTGACAAAACAAGACATTTGAAGACGTCACTCTTAATAAATAGTAGAAAGCACACCAACCCACATCAATCCGATTACAGCCCGGGCTGATTAGTGTATTTTTAGTAATCCTGCTGGGGATGAGTGACAGATTAGTTGAGTCAGCAGCGGTACGTTGCAATGATCTCTGCTGCGGCATGTTGGCCGACTCTTCTTCATCCTGCTGAAGGTCAGCTGATCGTAACACTGGTCCTCCCTGATTAGTTTGAGTGTTTTTCATTTTTCAAAGTCATTTTTGCTCATCTGTGGTAGAGGTGTAGAAGGTAGTGCAAAATATAAAGCAGCTTCTTTCTTAGTCTCCAGTCATATATTCTTTGTATGAAAGGTAAATAACACTCCATGTCTCTTTGTTACTCAACAGGAACATGGTTCCCTCTAATCTGATTGAGGCCACGTTTCAGCAGGTAACACACCCCCAGAACTCAGAATTAAAGTGCAATACCTTTTACACTTGCTGTGACTAACCCTACTGTGTTCCTTCAGTACAAAACGGACCTGATTCCCATCCTCAAGTCCCAACCAGAACCGTGCAGCCCAACTTCGTCTACGTCTTCCCAGATGAGAATGACCCTAAAGGTCGGACAGTGTACCTTGAGCTGACCCCGCCTCCAGATGTCACGTACAAAACGAGTCCTGGCACCAGCCAACAGATGAACGTCCTGGGCATCGTCATCTTCTCCGCCACCATGGGTGAGCAGACTGAAGCAGAACATGATGTTGTTAAGTCCTGAGGTTTTCTGCTCTTCAGTTTTTAGAATGATTCAGTTTTCTGTCATTTATCATTGTTGTGAAACATATCAGATGTTTAAGTTCTTTAATTTAACTTTCTTCACATTAATGTTTAAAAGTTTGAGCTGTAAACATTTCCCCAAAAAATAACAGTCAAAAGATTCAAACCATTTAGGCTTTGTCCTCACGGTGTTGCACAATTTCACTCCAAACTAAATTCTTTCTACAACCATAAAACATTTCATTCCATTTGAGGGCGTTTTGGCATTAGTTTAGACATCTTTCGTTTTTTAACCCATAAACCCTTGGATTCCTAATTTACATTTATCATCCTGCACAATTTAGAGTGCAGTTGGTTCTCCCTATAAAGATGTGTAAACGGTATGTTGCAGGCTTGTTGCTGGGCAGGATGGGGGAGCGAGGAGCTCCACTGGTCAACGTCTGCCAGTGTATCAACGAGTGTGTCATGAAGATCATCAACGCTGCTGTGTGGTGAGAAGAATACTCTGAACGTACACACAGTACTTACAGAATCTGTGACACAGAGGAGGGCTTCTGTCAATCTGACCTAGTGACTGGTCGGGGGGGAAAAGCGTGCAGGTGGTAACAACTTACTGCTGCGGCACCTGAGCAGATTAAAAACATCCGCAGAGCCCACAAAGCTCAACGACCTGAATACTGAACAGACAGACACACTTCCTATATTTGTGTCACTTCTAAGCTACAGTCACTGCAAATATTCAGCTTCACATGCTGAACGCTTTGCTCTCTGATTTGGAGGTGATATTATTAGGGTTGATTGGGCCACTGCACCAGCAGGAAATAGATGAATACATTTATACATATTTTTCAGAATGTTGGCTTTTGGTAATCATGGTAACACTTGCACTGATACAACAGGAAGTATAATTTGGTGGTAAATCATCATGAAGTGAATTGTAGTGACCCTTCGGTAAGATTTTTTTTTTTTGTAGTGTAGTAATGGCAATGATAATCTCAAGTCCCAGGCTCCTCCAACAATGCAACATAGGACATACAACAATTAAAAAATAGTGCAAGAAGAAATGGAGCAGAATAGATTAGAATAAAAAAGTGTAGATTATGTGATTTGACCAATGATCTTCCTGTTAGGCCAAGATGTGTCTTCTTGACATTGTTTCAGATGTGAAAGCATCTTTTAAATAAGAAACATTATTCAAAATATTAATTATAGGTTTGTTATTTAATTTTTTTTAGTTAGTATTCGTCCCACTGCAGACACCCAACCAAGCCAAAGCCTGTTAACCTTGCGGCAATCTGACAGGAGAAACAGAAGCATCCTGGTATCCTTGACCAGCTTTCTTGAATCTGACCTAGTGACCTGTCAGGTGGTCAGGTGGGCAAACACATGGAGGTGACATCCGAGGACGGGTGGCGCAGTGGTCTGTGCATCTGATCATCAGATCAAGGGGGTGCTGTGGAACTCCAGTTCGAAACCCGCTCCTGCCGCCACTGCGTCAGGCCGTTGTGTCCTTGGGGAAGACACTTCACCCGGATTTGCTCCTGTGGGTATTGTCCACAGTACATGTATGATACTAATGTGTACTTGTAAAAGCGCCTCGATGACTTCGAGGCGTGAAGATGGACGGTGTGGCGCAGTGCGCTGTGCAATGATCATTAGATCAAGGGGTGAAACCCGCCGCCGCTGTGTCTGTAAAGCCGTTGTGTCCTTTGGGCAAGACACTTCACCTGAACTTGCTCCTGTGGGTATTGTCCACAGTGGTGACCATTGCATGTATGATATGTGTATTTGTAAAGCGCTTTGAGCATCTGGAAAAGCGCTATAATAAATGTAAGGAATTATTATTATTATTATTATCCTCCTGCTGCAGCACCGGAGCAGTTTAAAAACAGCCAATCAAAGCCTAATGACCTGGATACTCAACACAACACTGTACTACAGCTCCTGTGTTAGTGATTCTTCTAAAACTACAATAACCACAGACACATTAAAGGCTTCTCAATTCTCTAATTTCCCCTCCTCGACTCCTCGGTCCTCCGGTAGTGACCCGGAAATGAATTTCAGCGCGCCATGTTGAAGGACATCTCATTTCTCTAATCGAGGACCGAGCGTCAAGGAGGCTCTCTGGAGGAGCTCTAATCGAGGATACACTGATGGGTCCTCCACGGCTCCTTCGTGGATGCATTTCCAGCAACAGAGATGTTTCAAAGAGTCGTGACACACGGCCGGACTTATCTCAGCCAATCACAGCTCTGCATGCATCCCCTGGATATTATTTTATTAACTGCTTTCATCGCAACGTGATGTTTCCAGAGAGAACAGCTGTGAGGTCCGTTCAGAAAGCAGAGCAGTGTGTATAATATATATCACTCAGTATAACAGGCCTACATTACTCTCTGTATTTGTATGCTGTAGTTTAGTAGATATCTACAAACAAAGAGTCGATATTTTTCCAAGACCATTTAGTGCTTCACATAATAAAATACACAATGGCTGTAGCCTGATTATATGCTTTAGGAGCTGTGTGTGTGTGTGTGTGTGTGTGTGTGTGTGTGTGTGTGTGTGTGTGTGTGTGTGTGTGTGTGTGTGTGTGTGTGTGTGTGTGTGTGTGTGTGTGTGTGTGTTGTGTGTGTGTGTGTTAGGGGTGTAACGGTTCACAGAAGTCACGGTTCGGTTCGTTCCTCGGTTTGGAGGTCACGGTTCGGTTCGGTACAACAAGAAAAAGCAAAAAAAAGTCCCAAATGCATAATTCCAGGTTTGTTGTTATTTATTTTTGAACAGTAGTGCAAGTTTCAGTTTAAAAATAAAGAACTCTGACATTTTGAATAATTAACTGTATTAAACAGTTAAAAACAAACCACACTCAGATGGCCATATTATCTATAATGGCTGATGTCAAACAAAAAGGTTTCATCAAGCTGTAAAACTAAAAAGAATGTCTTGAAAATATGACATCATAAATAATAAGAAAGTGTTTCAAGAACGCAAAGTCGTTGAAAAACATATGCCAAAAGCTTCTGTTATTTATTTTGGTCTCTCGGTCTATTGGCTTCTTAAAAACAGCGGGGAAAAGCTGCTGAACTGCTGCCGTCTTTTGCCGGGCTCCGGTGATTGGCAAATCTGGGTGATGCCTTCTGATATGATTTAGCATGTTTGGCGTGTGTTTCCATTAGCATACCGCACCACTGTCTAACAACGCCGACACACCGTCCTCGTCCGATCCACTACTCGCACACTTAATCGTTATTGTAGTCCACAGGGAACCCGAAATGTTCCCACACAGCTGATTTAAAAGAAGCAGGTGGGTTCTAGCTGCTGTGTGTTATCTGAAATCGCCATACTAACTTTTCTTCTTCTTGTATTTTGTTCGTTTTGTTGTTGTGTTTCTTCTTGTTCTTCATTTGTTGTTTAAGGGCGGCTGGCAAACAGCTTTTAGGCGCAATACCGCCCCCTGGATTATATATAGTGTAATGGATACTGCCCTGAATGACAGACTTTTTCCCCACTCGTAACAGACAGACAGACAGGTCTCAGTTGGTTTGGTGTCCTCTGCTTACTTTTAATAATTGTAAATAAAACCCGTAATTTATTTTCCTCATTGTAGCGACCAGAGAGGGGGGGATATATCCAGTCTCTGATTGTGTTACGTTATTATGAGAGTGCTCTCATACTTGTTTGAATCTGAAATTGTATATATTTATATAAATATAAGTGTGTGTGTGTGTGTCCCGAATCTGTAGCCTGTTATTGTCTCATTATACCGCACTGTGAATGAATCAAAGTAAATATATAAGTGGTCATGAACACATCTGTCCATCAGACAGAGGGCTGTTGTGCCTCCTGTCATCATTAATGGACGTCTCTTTAAAATGACCGCTCAGAGGAGAGGAGTTCTCATTTCTCTAACCGTCTGCTGCTTCCCCTCCTCTCTCCTCGGTTCCCCTCCTCAGTCCTCCGCTCGCATCTCCTGTGGGCGGGACTAAGACACGAGGATAGGAGTCGAGGAAAGGAGTTGAGGAGGGGAATTAGAGAATTGAGAAGCCTTTAATGTGTATAATAAATAAGAGCTTCAGACTCCAAACATTATAATAACAACATGTTAACATTATAAGGTGTTGCACAGTATTGCACATTGCATGTTTAGTTCACTTCAGTTTAGTTCCGTTCAGTTTAGTTTAGTCTTTTGCTCCTGAACACTTTGCTCTTTGATTTGAAGGTTTGTTGGAGGGTGTTAGCTGATGAGAATAAACGGCTGTAGTTGTAAAGCTGATGAAACATATTTCAGTAATAACAGAACGGTTAAGGGAATATTTATTGAGATTCGTTCTTCTTCTTCTTCTTTTGGACACTCGGGTAAAGAGAGGGGCGGAGTTGTCAACTGATCACCATCTGGTGGTGAGTTGGGTCGAGTGGCGGGGGAAGCCTCTGGATAGACCTGGTAAGCCCAAACATGTAGTTCGGGTGAACTGGGAACATCTAGAGGAGGCCCAAGTTCATGAGGCCTTCAACTCACACCTCTGGCGGAGCTTTTCGGGCATTCCTGTGGAGGTTGGGGACATTGAACCAGAGTGGTCGGTGTTCAAAGCCTCTATTGCCGAAGCTGCGGCGGGGAGCTGTGGTCTCAAGGTCTTAGGTGCCTCAAGGGGCGGTAACCCTCGAACCTCCTGGTGGACACCGGTGGTCAGGGAAGCCGTCCGACTGAAGAAGGAGGCCTTCAGGGATTTGTTATCCCGGGGGACTCCCGAGGCAGTTGTAAGGTACCGACAGGCCGAAGGGCAGCAGCCTCAGCCGTGGCCGAGGCAAAGCAGCGGGTGTGGGAGAAGTTCGGAGAAGACATGGAAAAGGACTTTCGGGCGGCACCAAAGTTGTTCTGGAAAACTGTCCGACACCTCAGGAGGGGGAATCGGGGAACCATCCAAGCTGTGTACAGTAAGGATGGGACGTTGTTGACCTCAACTGATGGAGTGTTAGGGCGTTGGAAGGAACACTTTGAGGAACTCCTGAACCCGACAACTCCGCCCTCTATGTTAGAGGCAGAGCTGGAGTATGACGGGGGATCAACACCAATCTCCCGGGGGGAGGTCACTGAGGTCGTCAAACAACTCCACAGTGGCAAAGCCCCGGGGGTGGATAAGATCCGCCCAGAAATGCTGAAGGCTCTGGGTGTTGAGGGACTGTCATGGTTGACACGTCTCATCAACGTTGCGTGGAAGTCGGAAACAGTACCGAAGGAGTGGCAGACCGGGGTGGTGGTTCCCCTTTTTAAAAAGTGGGATCAGAGGGTGTGCGCCAATTACAGAGGCATCACACTACTCAGCCTCCCCGGGAAAGTGTACTCTAAGGTACTCGAAAGGAGGGTCAGGCCGATTGTCGAACCTCAGATTGAGGAGGAACAATGCGGATTCCGTCCTGGTCGTGGAACGACGGATCAGCTTTTTACTCTCGCAAGGATCCTGGAGGGGGCCTGGGAGTACGCTTATCCGGTCTACATGTGTTTTGTAGACTTGGAGAAGGCGTATGACCGAGTTCCCAGGGAGGTACTGTGGGAGGTGCTGCGGGAGTATGGGGTGAGGGGGTCTCTACTCAGGCCCATCCAATCTCTGTACTCGGTCCTCTGCAGTAAGTCGGACCCATTTCCTGTGAGGGTTGCCCTCCGCCATGGCTGCGCTTTGTCACCAATCCTGTTTGTAATATACATGGATCGGATTTCGAGGCGTAGTCATGGGGGAGGGGGTCTGCGGTTCGGTGGACTAAGGATTGCACCACTGCTTTTTGTAGATGATGTGGTTCTAATGGCTTCATCGGTCTGCGACCTTCAGCACTCACTGGATCGGTTCACAACCGAGTGTGAAGCGGCTGGGATGAGGATCAGCACCTCCAAATCTGAGGCCATGGTTCTCAGCAGGAAACCGATGGACTGTCCACTCCAAGTAGGGAATGAGTCCTTACCCCAAGTGAAGGAGTTCAAGTATCTCGGGGGCTTGTTCTCGAGTGAGGGAACAATGGAGCGTGAGATGGGCCGGAGAATCGGAGCAGAGGGAACGGTACTGCAGTCGCTTTACCGCACCGTTGTGACCAAAAGGGAGCTGAGCCAGAAGGCAAAGCTCTCTGTCTACCGGGCCATTTTCGTTCCTACCCTCACCTATGGTCATGAAGGATGAGTCTTGACCGAAAGAACGAGATCGCGGATACAAGCGGCCGAGATGGGTTTTCTCCGCAGGGTGGCTGGTGTCTCCCTTAGGGATAAGGTGAGAAGTTCGGTCATCCGGGAGGGACTCGGAGTTGAACCGCTCCTCCTTCGCGTCGAAAGGAGCCAGTTGAGGTGGTTCGGGCACCTAGTTAGGATGCCACCTGGGCGCCTCCCTAGGGAGGTGTTCCAGGCACGTCCAGCTGAGAAGAGACCAAGGGTAGACCTAGGACCAGGTGGAGGGATTATATCTCTTCACTGGCCTGGGAGCGCCTTAGGATCCCCCAGTCAGAGCTGGTTGATGTGGTCAGGGAAAGGAAAGTTTGGGGCTCTCTGCTGGAACTGCTACCCCCGCGACCCGACCACGGATAAGCGGGAGAAGATGGATGGATGGATTTTTTTGGATCAATTATTCATTTATTTGTCAATTTAGAACACAGGGTTGCACAATGAAATTTACATTTTATTCTCACAGAATGTATGATCAATTATTTAAAGTATTTGAATTGGAATAGAAAATGTTTTATATAGTGACTAATAGACACAATGTTATATAATTATACACCGAGAGTGGTTTGTTATGGTAGTGTAAAAGCAGTGTTCTGACAGAAAGTTCCATGTCATTTATTTATGACACCAGCACACCTCCTGCATTCAACAGGACACACACACACACACACACACACACACACACACACACACACACACACACACACACACACACACACACACACACACACACACACACACACACACACACACACACACACACACACACACACACCACACACACACACACCACACCACACCACACCACACCACACCACACACCTCACCACACACAGAGAGAAACAGAGGGGGGGAGGAGAGAGTGCAGGCTAGGCAGAGGGCCTGACTAGTTATCCTAACATCAGAATGATCGCCATGACCCACACTTAGCCCATGCAGTCATGTATATGTTTATATATCAAATATGAGGTGGATACTCATGATCCCGCGAGGTTGATTGCTTGATGACTTCACCATCAATCCAGAATTTCTACTTGAATTAAGTAATAGATAAATCTCATTGCTATACAATTAACACCATGTATTCCTGCTCCCCAGAGGATAACCTCTTTGGATTTAAATGACTCCATGTTGTTTTCTTTCATGTCACCTTCTGGACAACTGTACACGGTTAGCTTCACCACTGTAAAGAGTCTAACTGATAAATCATCAGTGTTTTGTTTGCTTCAGGTACTTCCCATTTGGAATCGTCTTCCTGGTGGCGGGTAAGATCCTGGACATGCAAGACCCAAGCACGCTGGGGAAGAAGCTGGGCTGGTATGGCATCACCGTGCTCGCTGGCCTCTTTGTCCATGGACTTATCCTCCTCCCTTTCTTCTACTTTGTCCTCACCAAGAAGAACCCCTTTACCTACATCCGCGGGCTGCTGCAGGCCATGGTGATCGCCCTGGCAACCTCCTCCAGGTCAGAGTCAAGGACAGTCCTGCTTTACCTGCCGGTCTGTGGATGTTTTCAAGGTAGTCATTAAATGTTGTATCTTCTCAGCTCTGCCACGCTTCCAATCACCATGAAGTGTTTGTTGGAAAACTGCCACGTGGACCGACAAATTGCTCGCTTCGTCCTACCCGTGGGGGCTACAATCAACATGGATGGGACGGCACTGTACGAGGCTGTGGCGGCCATCTTCATTGCTCAGGTTAATGACTATGAGCTGGACTTCGGCCAGTTGGTCACCATCAGGTAAACCAACAGACATTGTTTGTCTGAGAAACTTGAAGAACTTGTTTAGACTTCATTTCCCAAATGGAAATAATCTATAACAAATGGACACAATATGTGAATGTTTTTAATTATATGTCTACTGCAAGAGATTCCCACTATAACTTATACTTTACTTTGTATGCATAGCACAAATCATGCTCCAGTCCTAAATGTGATTGTTCAGCAAATCGATACAATGCAACAAAAATGTGATTCTCAGTAAGGACTTTAAGTTGTGAAAAGGCCAATACATTTAGTTTGAATAAATATATTATGTTAAATTTGACTCTTACTTCTGTTGTCCTCATGCAGCATCACGGCCACAGCTGCCAGCATCGGTGCAGCAGGGATCCCTCAGGCTGGTCTGGTTACCATGGTGATTGTACTGACATCAGTAGGCCTGCCCCCAGATGACATCACACTCATCGTGGCCATCGACTGGATTCTGTGAGTTTACAGTACTGGTTATGTAGAAAGGTCTCTGTCTCAGCATTTCAGTATTATTAACGGTACATTGTAGAATAGAGTAAAACAAAAATCCATTACTCAATTAATCAACAACTTTATTAATCCCGCAAAGGGCAATTGATTATGAGCAGCAGCTTATATCATGTACACAGGCAGGAACATACAAGAAGAAAACACACAGATACACCCGGGAGCACAGATGTGGATCATTCCAATTTACACTATAAATAGTTCAAAGCATCACAATAATAAATAAATAATCAAGTTAAAAGCTTTTCAAGAATTTAAAAGTTTGAGTGCAGAAGGGATGAATGATTTTGAAAAGCGATTAGTCCTTTGAGCAGGTAGAGCATATCTTCGCCCTGATGGCAACAGACGCAATTCATGTGAAAGAACATGACCTGAAGAGTTCAGAATGCTCTCTGCTTTCCGCAGAATCTGTTGATTACAGAAGGAATTTAAGTCTCTCTGTTTCACGCCGATGATCTTGGAGCAGGTTTTAACAATGCTGTTCAGGCTGTTCCTGTCTTTCAGTGTAAGGCTATGGAACCAGCAGATAAAAGAAAAACAAATACGGCTCTCAATGAATGCTTGGTAAAAACGACAAAGAATGAAAGGCCTGAAGAGAAAGAGTTCAGTTTGCGAAGAAGGTGCATTCTCTGTTGACCCCGCTTCACAATACACTCAGTATTCACATCAAATGTGAGGTGGTCATCGAAAATGGTATTTGTATGATGTGACAATTTCTACATTGTCATTGTGTATGACAATGTCCCCTCCTCTTCTCCTTGTACACAAACTCGCTCGGATCAGTCATTAGCCCGCATGGTTTTTCATACCACTGCTACGCTGACGACACCCATTTCATTCTGTCCTTTCCCCGCTCAGAGACCCAGGTCGTCGCACGCATCTCTGCTTGTCTAGCTCAGTGGTTCTCAAATAGGGGTACGCGGACCCCTAGGGGTACGTTGGACTACTGCAGGGGTACGTTGGAGTACTGCAGTTAATGAAAAAATAACATATGTAATGCATTTAAACAAACTACTAATAGTAACTACTTTATTCAAAGGTTTACAGTAATTCTGGATAATAAAATGGGGAAAATAAATGGGGTGCTCTCTTTTCCTTTCCCTCTCCTGACAGCCCGTCAGTCTCGTGCAGCTCGCTGAACCTGTAATAAGTGACCCGACAGTAAAGAATACATATATTTATAACTAGTATAGCTAGTTCCAGAGTAGATAAACTAGCTAAGTGTGTTACTCTTAGTGTATTTAATGTTGCTCCGCTCAACGGTCCGTCACAGCGGGGGAGCTGTGATCATGCAGAGCTGCGTGTTCTCCGTCAGCTGATCTGATCTCTGATCTCTCTCTCGCGTCCGGTAAGACTTCACTCGCGTTGATGTACAAATCTATCAGATCTAGCTAGTTCAAGCTAATGATATGACTGCCTGCTTATCAAAGGACCTAAACAATAAGCGTTGCTTGGCAACGGCGTGTGGCCGCAAAGTATAGCATTATGCATATGTGTATATGAGGGGTCAAAATCCCATGCTCAAAAAATGCTCATATATTTTTTTCTCTTCATTCCCCACGCCCCAAAATAAATAAATACCAATTTTAGGGAAAGTAACGAAGTTTGAGCAGTGTGAGTTTTATATGAACAGAGTTATACATATTTCAAAACACATGTGTGTAATAACTGCAGGTTTGTCAGAATGACAAAGATCCTCAGTGAAGCTCAAGCCCATGTTTCTCACTACATTGTAAGTACAACTTATTAAAAAGATCAGTTCAATGCAACTAATGTCGTCTTAGTGTTATTGCATGATGTTAAAATTGGTTTGCCATGAATTTAGTGATGGATTGTAAACATTTTAAATGTAGCATTTAAGTGTTTCTCAGTTACAAGGTTGTTGTTTTAAAGGTGACATGTCATGCTTTTCCGGTTATTACCCGTCCCCTTGTGTGTTATGAAGGTTTTTATGCATGTAAACGGTGTGCAGAGTCAAAACCCTCAAAGTACACCATGTAGCGAGTAAAACTCTTAACACATAAAATACCTCCCCAAAACGCCTCGTTGGAGATACGTCACTGTCCATTTGATTCTTCCGGGTACATCATGATGTCATGTCGTCCCCGGAACGAAATGGACCAATCCGTGGAGCCGTTACGTTACGTCCGCGGAGCCGTTACGTTAAGCCCCCGCTGATTGGTCCAAATTGACCAATCCACGGACTTCCTCACACACTCAGTGCAAGCAGCTCTGCTGATTTCTCCTCCCTGTGCAGGCTGATAACAGACAGTTGGGATCGCGGCAAAATTTTCTCTGCAGACCCATTCTCTCTGCAGACCCATTCTCACAGCGTTTATCGACCTTTTTCTTACTCAATATCAAGCCACACTTATTGTTGTTACTTCGGCTGTGACTTTGTGTGTGCTCAGGGTGAGTTTGGCTGTGTATCGCTAAACAAGGAAATCACACCTCCACGGAGCTCAGCGCGATTCACAACGTCCCGACTGGTCCCGACCAATCGGAGCACACTGGGCTCACAGGGAAGGGGGGGCAAGAATTGCAACGAGCCGTTTAGTGGAGAGAGTGAATACTGCTGAATACACATACTATACAGAGATGCTGTATGAGAAATGTGATTTTGGAACATTGAACAATGTAAATCTATTCTAGTATACCTCAACAATGGAATTATGATCAGTGGAAATGGCCATGACATGTGACCTTTAATAACTCAGACACCGATGGTGCAGCGCTATACTGTACCTCTTTATATAGGCATTTTGTCCCTAACAAATCGTTTTTGCGCTGATCAAGGGGTACTTGGCTGAACTTTTTTTTCAAAGTGGGTACATTACTGAAAAAAGTTTGAGAACCACTGATCTAGCTGACATCTCTCAGTGGATGTCTGCTCATCACCTCAAGCTCAACCTTGACAAGACTGAACTGCTTTTCCTTCCGGGAAAAGATTGTCCCACTCTTGACCTGACAATCAACATCGGCACCTCAGTTGTTTCCCCGACTCAGACTGCAAGGAATCTGGGTGTGACCCTAGATAACAACCTGTCCTTCACTGCAAACATCGCTGCTACAACCCGCTGTTGCAGATACACGCTTTACAACATCAGGAAGATACGTCCCCAGCTGACCCAGAAAGCGACGCAGGTTCTGGTCCAGGCTCTCGTCATCTCACGCCTAGACTACTACAACTCCCTCCTGGCTGGTCTACCTGCATGTGCCATCCGACCTCTGCAGCTCATCCAGAATGCAGCGGCTCGCCTGGTCTTCAACCTTCCTAAATTCTCCCACACCACGCCGCTCCTCCGCTCCCTCCACTGGCTTCCAGTAACTGCTAGAATCCACTTCAAGACAATGGTACTTGCGTACCATGCTGCGAATGGATCTGGCCCTTCCTACATCCAGGACATGGTTAAACTGTACACCCCAGCACGTGCACTCCGCTCTGCATCAACCAAACAGCTCGCTGCACCCGCACTGCGAGGGGGACCCAAGTTCCCATCAGCAAAAACACGTGGGTTTGCTATCCTGGCTCCAGGATGGTGGAATGAGCTCCCCATTGACATCAGGACAGCAGATAGCTTACACACCTTCCGGCGCAGACTGAAAACTCATCTCTTTCGACTCCACTTCGAGCGATAGAACTATTAACAAAGCACTTATATACTAATAAAGGACTGGCTTATCTAAAGCCAGTTGAGTAGCACTTGAAATGTTTTTGCTCTATGAAACCTGATGTACTTATATGATTCTGTTTTCTTCAAGTTTGTATTTTGTTGGTCGAACGCACTTATTGTAAGTCGCTTTGGATAAAAGTGTCAGCTAAATGCAATGCAATGTAATGTAATGTATGATGCACTCCTTAGGAACATCCTTTTGACGTCTTTTTTTTTGTGACGTCTACAAAAAAAAAGACGTCACAAGGATGACGTCTTTACGACTCTGAGACTCTCGTCCAGAGTAGTTTAGGTTTCACGGTGTCTCCCTTTAATCACATCTGTTTCTACAGTGACAGGTTTCGAACCATGATCAACGTTCTGGGCGACGCTCTGGCAGCGGGAATCATCGACCATCTCTGTCGGAAAGATTTCCCCCTCAGTGGAGCAGAAAAGGTATCTATGAAAATCTTACTCTGTGTATGTTGGCTATTAACTTAATCTTACTTTTCTGACCTTTTAAAGTAATGTATTAAATCTTTTTAGACGTTTTACCTTTAAAGCTCACCTATTATACTGTATTAGAAAAATATATTATAGGGCCATATCTATACAAAACATGTCTCTATAGGGTCACCCATTGTAGCATGCCTCATACCCCTCTATTTCAGCCCTGTTACTAAAGTGCTGATTCTGGGTCTGGCCCTTTAAATGTAGCCAAGCTGCTGCTGGCCACACCCCCTTGGAGCTGCTGCTGGTCACGCCCCTTTGGAGCGTCCACATGCAAGCAGTGAGCTCTGTGAAGAGAAGGCTGTCCACCAGCAGAAACTCAGATAAACACTGCCGTGATTAAACGCCATATTATGTTCCAAACCACATCAAGCGTTATTTCTGAAACAGTATAATTCCTTACATTTATTATAGCGCTTTTTCAATGACTCAAAGCGCTTTACATATACACACATTACACATATATCATACATAATGGTCAGATAGTATGGAGCTCAAACGCTTGCTCTCACGCGGGTTTACCACAAGGTGAGTACCTTTTTATATCCTGCTTCTTTACACATACTCTCTCCAGTACAGCGTTAGCTCTGAGTGTTAGCGATGCTTGCTAATGTAAACAAAGACCATATTACTTCCAAAACACGTTGCGCATTGTTTCTGATACAGCGTATTTATTTCTGATGGGGACGATAGGTTGGGTGGACGGGACGTTGCCAGGAGTTCAACGTAAAGCCTGCCCACATTTTAGTAATGTCGTCATGACGCAGCAAATCTGGATCAGCTCCGTTGTTCACCCGTTTTTAGAGATTTGGGTAAGGTGGAAAAGAGAGAGGGTTGTATTTTTGGAAACTTTGTGAGTCTCCTTACACACCGGGGACACATATTTATTTATAAAATACATCAAAAAGTGCATAATAGGTGACCTTTAACTTAAATAACAACAGAAAAAGTTTGCTCTTTTGGAGGCAATAACAAATCCCAAATCAAATATCACTCTCTATAACTTCTGATTGGAAACACAAACCTGTCGATTACAACTCTGAGCTGTAACTGGATTTATACCTGTTGGGTTACAAACAGTTACATCAGTGTTTTCTCAGATTTTGGAGTCAACCACAACAGATTAGATCCCTTACTCTTATCTTAAAATATATGTCACACAACCTTCATTTCACAAAATATCTCAGCACAAGCACGTTCTCAAACAAGAAGGCTGAGCCAGTAGGTGGCAATAAAGTCTACAATGAAAACACCAGAGTAGAACATATGTACAAATAACACGTTTATTTTCCTTTGGCAGCAGTAAATTCAAATACAAACAATAGTAGCAAATATATAATTGATGTATACTAACCTATTTCCTCACCTTTATCATGTAACCCATTCCGACTGGATGGGACATGTGTGTGTATCACATATCCTTTCTGGCACATTGACCTGTGTTCTATGGCAACAAATGTGTCCATCATTGTTGTTGTTTCAGACATATGCTTTAAAAAAAAAATCTTGATCACTTCACAGTTTGCATCTAATGTCTAAATGTAATGTGTTTTTTCTTCAGGCTGGGCCATCTTATGGTACGCAGAATCCTCACGCTCACAACAACTCTAACAGTGTAGACGTGCCAATGACAGAGATCCACACACACAAAGACTGTATGTTTGATACGACGGGCGACTCAGTCGGCGAGAGGCACCCACACACCGTTTACTATAACATCTGTCAGGTGTGATTGGAGACGCACCGAGTTAAAGTTCACTGTGCCATCTGAACAGGAGGCAGACTTTGTTGTTACAGAGCATGATACCTCTTCTTCTGAGCAGCCCCAACTGCTTTGAATTTAATTTAGGTGACAGGAAATGTTGTTTATTTGGCCAAAAGTGGATTGGAGCGTCATTTGGAGCTTTTTCCCTAATGACAGTGAGAACAAAAGCTCCACTACAAGAACTAATGGTGCCATTTTAATGGAAACCAGCCATCAGCACTAACTGGCAAACTAGCCTGAATTTAAAAAGTGGTGGGATTGATATATCAAGAAGAGAAATCCAGCAAATTGTCTGGTTCCTTTTGAAGAACAGCTGAACAGGAGCCTGATCTGCATCAGAGACACAGCCCTCCTGGAAGCATCTACACACTCATCCTCAGGTCTGACAGCTCCACGTAGCAGCTGGACACGCTGCAGTTAACCTTCTGAACTGGGTATCAAACCTTAATGGCTCTTGGGTACTGCCATAAATGTGACTGTACTATCACTTTCAGGTCAGTTTAGTTTTTAGTTTAACACAAAATGAAGATGGAATGCCAGTTCCACACCTTGAAGTGATCTAAAGAAGGAGATGGCTGATACAAGCTGCCAAAATAAGTTTCCATCACAGGGTCACTCGTCCCAGCTAATAAGGGTTTCACAACAACATTATTGAAAGCACTTCATCTGTGCAAAGTAATCCACAGAATGAAGCTTATAACGTTATTATACAAATCCACATACTATTATGTGAAGGACTGCAGAGGGTCATCTTACTTGGGGTCAAAAAACTTTGGGGCGCAATACCTGGGCTGCCACTATGATTCCTTTATTGCTGAGACCACAGCCGCTTTACCTGTTGGAAATTAATGAATGAAAATGATTAGTGCATGTCTGGTGTAAAAAACGTGTTAGTTACCAGGTGAGGGGAACCAATGACCCTCGTGAGTCGTGACTGATGGAGCCAGACGCCTCCTGATAGAGATCAGGCACTTGCTACTGAAAAGACTCTGGGGAGGCCCAGAAGACACTGAAGGGATTATATCTCCTCAACCCTGAGCACTTCTTCCAACATCTTCCAAGTCGAGCTGTTAGACATCCCGACTGCTCAGACCCTTGTAAGCCATCACCTTTGACTGGGTGCTATATTTGTACAACTGTGACCCCATCAAATAGTCCTGGTCCTCTTATTAAGGAACCTGCATCATGTGATACAACTTTTTCATGCTTGTCATCTCTACTCAGACTTTAAAGCCAGAACAAATCCACTTCTATGTTGAGAGAGTGATAGTTTAAGACAACATGTTGGATCACATTGAATGTAATTTAAAATACTCGCAGGTTGACCAAAAGAGAAAGCTAAACAGCTTGGACCCCTCTCCTAGAACATTTGTTTGTGTTTTATCTCAAATCATCTCTGTCTTTCCTACATCCCTTTGACTTTTCTGTGTGTTTGATTGGCTGGTGCTCACTGCTGCCTGTTTAGACTGGTTGTGTGTTAAAGGGTAATCTGTTCACTCTGACAGCCCAATGGATCCAAGTGCTCTTCACCTTGCAAATCAAGCTTCTTCTTCTTCCATCTTTTTTTTATTGACAGCATGCTGGCATGCGCTCTTACTGGCTTCACTTGAAGCCGCTGTGCATTATATTTTTCTCCTGTTTTTAATCAAAGTGCTGTAGGGATTATGGGACTTGGTACCAAAGTCAGTTTGTGTTCAGTTACTACTTAACTACTTAAATGTGTGTATTACCTCAAATTGTTTACTTACATCTGAGATTGTGAGTGACTTCTGGCAATGTGTTTGACAAACACCAGTGGTTCATAGAAGGTAAGAAAAAGGTGTAAGAACTCATGTTTCAAAAGCTGGTCAGGGGAAATTAAGTTATGATGTTATAAATAAATGACTTGTAGTTATGTGGACAAATCATATATATATATATATATTTTTTTTTATAAAGTGCTCCTTTAACTTCTCTCTGTGTACAGTAAGTTAAGTAGCTGTGTTGTTTATGTAGAACAATGAAAACGTAGACCTGCCTTAATGTAACCGTTGACATTCTGTCATTTTAATCCACATACCTCAATGTTTCTCTGCCAATGCACACTGACTAACTGCAACTATTACAAAAGCACAGCTTTCATCGAATTGCATCGTGTATATACTTTATTTGTTTTTTATATGATATGTGTTTTTGGACTTTGGGTAATTGCTGTTTGTTTATATTAAAAAATAAATATACTGATACCAATACAGTTAATTCTCTCTTACATACAGTGAAAGTGACTTGTTAAAGGTCACATGTCATGGCCATTTCCACTGATCATAATTCCATTGTTGTGGTCTACTAGAATAGATTTATACTGTGCAATTTTCCAAACTCACATTGGTTTCTCATACAGCATCTCTGTAAACAACCCTGTCTCCTAAAAATTACGTTCCCACAGAACTAAACTGCATTCTCAATTACGTTTAGCTAGAAACGTATTTTCTCCCACGTTACGTTTGTTATGAACGTATCTCAAATACGTTTATTTTCTACATATCTTCTAGAAACATATTTCCTCCCACGTTACGTTCGTTATGAACGTATCTTAAATACGTTTATTTTCTACATATCTTCTAGAAACGTATTTTCTCCCACGTTACGTGCGTTATGAACGTATCTTAAATACGTTTATTTTCTACATATCTTTGCCATTTATTGTCTTGCTTATAATAATGATAATAGTCATTTATAAATATCATTTTTTGGGCAGTGGTAGCGAAGTCGATAGGGACTTGGCTTGGCAACTGGAAGGTCACCAGTTCAAGTCCCGGCAAGACCAAGTGCTACCGAGGTGTCCCTGAGCAAGGCACCGTTCCCTACACTGCTCCCCGGGCGTCGTTCAAAATGGCAGCACACTGCTCCTAACACTAGGATGGGTCAAATGCAGAGAAACAATTTCCCCACGGGGAATAAATAAAGTATATCAATATCAATATCAATTTTAGAGCACACATTTGAAATCGAGAATCGGGCTCGATATATGGTTAAATTAAAATCAGTAGGCGAGGCTATAATTTCGCCAGCTGTTACTCTCATGAGCGAGGCAGAAAATAATAGTTTTAACATGCCAAAAAGCTGCTGTGTCGTTTATTGCACCTCAAACATTAAAACAAATCCAGAGTTACGTGTTTCTGTACTTCCTCGAAGAAGAAAGGACAGTAACAGAAGATCTCTGTGGCTTCAGGCTTGATCGCCGTTCAAATGACAGCGTTGGTTTCCCCAAAAGTGGGCGGGGCTGTAAAGTGACGTAGATTTTACTCTCATCTATTATTCAAAACCATTCTATTTATTCTAACGTAAATTACATGCCAGTGTTTTATCTTTTTATTGATTTGTTTTTTATTTTATATCGTATAATGTCGGACTTTTTTTCCCGTCTGTGAGGAAAAGAAATGGGGCTGAGAGCCTCAAAATACTGAAATCTGTATTTTTTTTAAATCTTTTCCTTCTAATTTGTTATTCTTTTCTAAATAACACACTGTTATTTACTAAACAATAACACACAATTATCCTTGTTTTTATTTATTCGTTTAATTCTATAATCTTGGGCTTTTTAGCCGTAAATAAAGTCACCGGAAACAGACGGGACATTTCGAGCGATACATACCACAAACCCACCGAACTGATTACCCAAGATCCTCAGCTTGAAGCTCGTTGATTGGATGTTTTAGCCGCAATGCACGCTGGGATATGGTGTTAATAAGATATGATATCTGAAAACGAAAAATAAAATAATACCTAATTCAGAGTGTTCTTGCTTTTCTCTTTGGAAGTCATCACATAACGGCATTGTAATACACGGTTCGGCTGCATTAAATATTACACATCTGCCGTAGTTCTTTATTTATAGAGCCCTGATGAGAGAGACAAACAAGAGAACTGCCGCCAAAACTGAATACTTGACGTGGATCATAAATATATCAACAATTAAACAACATCTTCAATTTCTTTTCACAAAATACGTCTCCTTGCAGTATCAATAGTAATTCAGCTGACTTTTATATTTGATCCAATTGGTAGATAGGTTATATTTACACCATAACGGTGCACAGCTGATAGAAAAGGACTTGTAGTTTTTAAAGATATATGATACTGATTTTCTTTGAATATAAGAAGGGTGATGGGAGACACATCTATGGAATCACAATTTCAATAGCTAAATGACGGATATACCTTTCTGTCTGTGATGTTTTACAAATCAGATATTAATGTTAGAAGTAAAACATGAGAAATAGTATAGCAATATCCTGTAAAATTATGTAAAAACATGAATAAAACTACACATCTTCAGATGTTATACATACATAAGTGTCCTACACTAATAATTCAAAGTTATTATTAGTATGCTGTGTACCTTGTGTGCACCGCCTAGTGGTTAAAGCACATTATTGAATTAATTTGGTTGAATAATGTTATTTGATGAAAAAAATATTAAGAGTACATACTTTCATAGGGGGAAAGTAGAAGGTCAATGATAGAAATATAGAATATAAAAAGTCAAGAAGATACTGTAAGTGATCTCTACAATAAAACAGTTTAGTGCACAATGTACAAAGATATTGATAGGAGGATGTGCAAAACAGACAAACTAATTAACCTTTATTAACACATTAAAGAATACTTTAGGTTAAGGTCTTCTTTCAAATAAGAAAAAAGCTTTGGGGGTATCTATCTACAGATAGATATATTAAGCCTGACAAAGTACTTAACGGTCTAATATATTGCTTTCCTGCAATGTTAAGTATGTTGAAGCACTTATTTTAACTGATATTATACACATTAATTATACTCTTATGTATGTAGATAGAATAAGAAATGTGCAGAATATGACAGTTTAATGGTGGAGGTATACACATATTGATAGATGTCTTGTAATGCGTAGTTGAGGAACCTGCGACCCAAGTTGTGTATATGATCAATACACCTTAGAAAATCTTGAAATCTTGAAAGGGATGTGCAAAATAGCCATTATATACAGTTTTTAATTAACTATTAGTAGAGAATAACGAGTAATGAATATACTTTATAGAGATCTGCAGATAAATGTTTCGTCTTCTCAAGCACCAACTATCAAATGTCTCTCCTGATTGTTGGCACTTGACAATCACCTTCCCTGAATTTTACTCAGGTGTAACTAAAGTCTGCTTTAAGGGTTGTTTATATTTCACATCATTAATCAGAATCTGCAAAGTAACTAAAATAAATGTAGTGGAGTAAAAATACCAGGTTAACCTCTGAATTGTAGTGGAGTAGAATTACAAAGTAACAATGAGCTATCATGTGGGTATATATTAATGCTGCCCATTATGGATACAAGCGATTTTCACCCATGTAGTAATTACATGTTTTAAATGTGTACACACCAATGTGTTTCCTATCGCCTAAACCTCCAGGGCTGTACACAGTTTAATACTGTCAACTTCACATTTTGGGAAAAAACGTCTTTTAAAACTACAATTCCCAGTAGATACGTGCCATAGAGAACATGTTGCGAAACACAATAGCCAGCATGTGTAGTTCTCGGGGGGCGTTCGAGTCCAGTTTTGAATAGTCTGCCGTGGTTTCGTTCCATTTCAAAGAGCTTGACGCTCGGCATAACCTTGGCGCACTGCCACTCCAACATCACGGGGTCCTTCTCACTTCGGTTAAATGAAATTCTTGCGTCCCTCACTTGCGTCGTTTCCCTGCGTCTAGTCCCTCCCACCAGGGAAGCATGGAGGGACGCAAGGAAACCACGAGAAGCAGGGAAATGAGTTTTAAGAGCAATGGGACGTCCTTTCCTCCGGAGCGTCACGTGAAGCGACGTCCGTTTGTGATGACGCTGCACAGCTGATCGTCTGACAGCAGCTCTGTCCCCGTTATTTCCACAAACACCCCCGCCTCTGTTAGCACACATTTACTGACACTAACATTTGTATCATCTGTTGTAGACCCAAATAAATAAAATCAAATAAGAACTCATTCTCAAAAAAGATAAACGCCATTCTTAAAATGTATAAACGAACAATAGTTTGATTAATATTGATTAGAGTGCACAAAATAAATAAAATAATTCAGAGAAGAAAAAGAGATATGTTATCTATCAAAACCCAGTTAGATTAACATTCATTGGATTGCACACTTTGTGTGTTTGTGTGGATATGTAGCACATTAACATTTTAATAGCACTTAATGACTGAATGAATGGAAATGACAATAAATGAAAATGTATAAACGAAAAAAGCGATTATGAAAATGTTTCCAATAAATGAATAAAATGATTTTTGACCACTTTGTTGTTCAGATATATCACATATTTGTAACTAAATGAGACATTAATTGAAACAAAACACGGTATAAACTGAGGAGTGACTCCCGTGAGTTTCATGTATTTTCTTCACTCCGCTTGGAAACTGCTCTCATGTCAAGAAGCATCAGATCAGTGCATGCGCTGCATCGTCCAATCAGTGAGCGATACACAGTAAGGGGGCGGGGCGAGTGTCTGAGGATTTCATCGAAGGATGGTCTGGTGGTTCCTCGGTTATAGCTCCTCCATTATCGCTCCTCGCTCCTCGGTCCTCCAGCAGAAATAAGGCCATTGGGACGCTACTCAAGATGGCGCAGACAAATCAACTTCCGGTGAGACCGAGACCGAGGAGCGAGGAAATGAAAAATAAGAGAAGTGAGAAGGGCCCACAGGGTTTGTCAACGGGACTGTAGTCCCAAACGATAGATGGGGATTTTGGGTAGTGTAGTGTCTTCGGCCATCCTAAATCTCGAAATGTCCCGTCTGTTTCTGGTGACTTTATTTACGGCTAAAAAGCATGCTAAAAAGCCCAAGATTATAGAATTAAACGAATAAATAAAAACAAGGATAATTGTGTGTTATTGTTGAGTAAATAACAGTGTGTTATTTAGAAAAGCAGCTTTTTGTCATGTTAAAACTATTATTTTCTGCCTCGCTCATGAGAGTAACAGCTGGCGAAATTACAGCCTCGACTACTGATTTTAATTTGAACATATATCGAGCCCGATTCTC